AATCTTCGCCTCCATGGAAAGTCAAACTCACGATCATGGGTCGAAGCCACCAGTATCTCCACAGCAACCACACGTAGAAAGGATGCAGAACGTACAGCCCCATCAACAACTCGATGACGACTCTCGAGCCTTTGGTGAGCGCGGGTGCGACCCGCACTTTCTCCATTCAGGAGCCGAGGAGGGCCCGCCTAGAACGACCGGAAGTTGGGGAGTTGACTCACAGCTCGCTGGATTCTCACTTAGGCTTCCTTGGGGCGTTCACCAGATGGGAGGGCGCCCTGTGTCGAGCCCGTCTACGGCAGAGGACGCAGAAAGCAGAACTAGATGACACAAAACGGCACCTCAAGGGAAGCCCTCACCAGCGTCCACTTAAATCCTCATACCGAGTTCATTAACCGACCGTATCAGAGAGGAGAGGGGCCAGTCACTTGCTCCACGCTGACATCTCCCGGCCTCGGGGACGTATGTGCCTCAAGATTGAGCTTGCGTCTCGCCGTCTCCATCAATGACGAAATACTTCTGGGAAGCTGCTTCCCGCAAACGAGGAAATCGCTTAAGCAGCGGTTGGCCGCAGATCCCTCAAGTGCTTCGACCGGAAACACCCTCGACACGGCTTCTCGATCTCCCTTCTCTTGATCGCGTTGCGGACCATATTGGTTTATCCCTGGAAGGACGCGCATTTGTTCGAAAACAACGTCACGACGACATGACGTTCTTGAGTGCGGTCAATACATATGGTAGCGCTCGGGGCAATTGCACGTGCTGGGAAATTGAGTCAAAGATCTTTTGTTTATCGATTTACGCAACATTGTTTATCGTAAACTTCTGAAATGCAATCAGCTCGACCAGCTGGATCTGTCTCTAAATTTCACCGTATAGGTGTCCCGCTACTAAATGAGCTTCTCGTTTTCGAATGGGGCTCCCAAGTTAAGTTTCAACAAGATACGGCATAGACAGATTATATTATCTAGGTCCTGGAATGCAATTACAACGCTCAAATTCTCCCAATATTAAAGCATCGAATCAACAATGGGAGATC